TCGAAATACAGATAAAAACACACAAATACAACAAAACTTAGAAAGTAATAAAAACATGATCATCAGTTATTTTCTTGGTCATTTCCAGCTTGGTCTTCAACTACCGCATCAGCAAAATCTAGGTTCAATATGTCATCGATGCCATATTCATCATCCACACGTGTTGAATCATTTTCAAAGGGTTCCCCAATCATAAAATTGGTTTCTATATTCTTATCTTTTGATTTCTGGGAATCGTTATGTTTATCAACAACGTGTTTCGGAGCACGACAGTTTCGTGCCCAATGTCCCGCCTTTCCACATCGATAACATGCATTTTCATCATTATTCTCTGTCACATTATTCTGTTCAAATTTTGGCTGGAAATTTCTCCCCCTTTCAAAATTTTGGGCATAGTTACGGCCTCGCCCACGATTATATCCCCGACCCGAGTTATATCCTCGGTGAAATTTGTGGATTTGGTCAAATCGGCGATCTGGACCATATCCACGGCCACGGCCACGGCCACGTCCACGTCCACGACCTCGGCCACGTCCCGAGGTATATCCACGTATATATGTTTGGCTGTTTTCAGTTCCCAGGGACCACAGTAGACCCCGTAGGCCTAGATTCATGATTTTTCATCAACAACTCGTTATTTTGTTCAGCCAGCAGCAAACAAGAAATTAACTCAGAATATTTTACAAAGCCTTTTGCTCTGTATTGTTGCTGCAATAGTACATTTGAAGCGTGGAACGTGGACAACGTTTTTTCCAGCATATCATAATCAGTTATGTTTTCTCCGCATAATTTTAACACCGAACAAATGCGGAACATGGCTGAATTGTACTCGTTTACAGTTTTGAAATCTTGGAAGCGTAAATGCATCCATTCATAACGAGCCCGGGGGAGAATCACCGTTTTCTGGTGATCATATCTTTCTTTCAAAGCTTTCCAGAGATCCGCATGATCTTTAACAGTTAAATATTCATTTTTCAGTGCCTCATTCAAATGATGCCTCAGAAATATCATTGCTTCAGCTTTATCTTGTATTGATGAATCATTTGGGGATATTATTGTTTTTTCCAATCCCCTTGCCGCCAAATGAATTTCGGCATCCAATGTCCACGAGATATAATTTTTTCCAGATATATCGAGAGCTTCAAATTCGAGTTTGACCAGATTTGCCATGATAACTATAAAATAAAACATCAATGCTTAGATTCGAAAAATTACATATACAATCATTAATTCTTCAATACGTACAAAAGAGCAAATACTAAACACATTATACAAAGGCCTAATACATAAAATTTAAATCGAACAATACGATACATCATCTTGAAAATTAGCAAAACATATATAATAAACAAGATAATGGTAATTATAAGTAATGGATCAAACATTTTTTTTCT